TTCTTATTTCAGAAACCTTATTCTGTCCCTGAAAGTTCTCTTTCCCCTCTTCCTTCCCAGCTCCTAGCTTAAACTGCTCCACCACAGGGCTGGGAAGTATCTTTTAAACTAATTAAAGTAATAGAATAGGCGCTGAGTGTTAAAAACACCTTATTCATGTATCATCCCCTCCAATCAACCCCTAGGTTAAGATCTTTAAGGAAATGCAAAGGAACGTAATAGCATTAAGGGATGGCACTGCAAGAACAGTGCAGGGATGAACCTGAAACCCACCAAGTAGCATGTTCATTCTCCTCCCTCTCTAAGGCAGTCCTGGAAACAAACGAATAGAAAGTCAGGTTTGCAATGAATGAGACTGTGTCATCTTTAACTTAGCATTCTTTTCACTTATAGGACTGATGTGATTAATTTGGACTCTTTCTTTCTTCAACTCTAAATTGGTTGATACTTTAAAATATAATACGTACTCTGTCTGAAGAGGCAAGCAGTACGTAAGCACTGTTGAAAGACAAAGCACTTTACAGACAAAATAAATACTGCCTATAATAGCACCATGCATATATAACCACAGTATTTATGTCCTGAGTCCTATTTTGCATAAGTCGGGCTTTACACTTACGATTTTTTTTACTCAATAGTCTCATTTCACTAAATATTTTTTAAAACCTGACTTCTAATGGCTGCATAGTATTTCTGTTATTGATAGCCATAACTTACATTACCATTCAATTACTCTGTAATATTCCTCCCCCCACCCCAAACATTCATCCTGCGTCTCCCATCCTTTAAGATAATTGTCTGAGAGTGAAAATACCTACTAATCAAAGCACATGAACATTGTGTGCTGATATTTTCTTGAGTCAAACTTTAGTTTCATGTGCCCACCACCCTCCTAAAAATACTACCTTAAGCTATCCAAAACAAAAACAAAAGACGAATCAACGAACACATACAACTCTAATAAAATGTGTTGTTGTGAGTATCTAAAATATTTACCTCATTGGGCATTTTGAATCTGCAAAACCTCATATGCAAGCATGAAAATGGAAAAATAACCACGATTTTATGAAAATGGAGCATTGCATCCATATGAAGCGCACAATGCTTATTCAACGCTTTTTACATAGCCACTTGGCCATAGGGGCAAAAGAGAGGAATCAGGTTGGATTCAAGAAAAACCAACCAACCAACAAAAAACCTGTGTCCTGCTTTATGCAGCACTATTAGGCTAGAGAAGCAGAGGAGGAAAACAACAATAATAGATGCAATTGGACTGCTGAGAACTTAATATCATATAATCATGATCACACTGTACTGGTTCACCAAATTGGCCCTAAATATCAATTTTTTTTATCTCCCCAGTGTCTTCTGATCCAAGATTTGTCCCTTTTCCTGAATAAAATTTCGACTCGACTAACAAAATATTTTGCAATTTTTTAGCTTAAATACTCAGCACTTGAAATTGCATTCCTGTAATTATAATTATAACTAATAGACCTTCCATTTCCCATATCATAATTAATGTCAGGCTTTATTAGAGCATAATCATGCTACCTTTTCACTTACAAAGCTTCTTTTATTTTCACAACATTTATGCTATATTGAATTAAGCAATAACGAGTTCTAGAGGGCTTCTTAAAGGACAACCTTTGGATCACAGATGCTGAGTAAATGGACTATGCAACGTTTTTTGCATTGTCTTTAAATCACATAAAGTATTTTCTAATGTGCTACTTGTTCAACATCAATAAGTGAACAAAGAACTTAATGATTCAGTGATAAATACATTAGATTTCCTAAAAAGGTTATTTAATATTCTGTCAGCAAGGATGAAAGAACTAATGACAACAAAACAAAACATCTGGAGATCGTACTTGTTGACGGCAATGTATGACGTATACAGATGCGTCAACTTAATTGCAGCAATTTGGTGGCCAGTAAAACATATTTTGAAACACACAGGTTAATTTTTCATCTGCCCTGGTTACACAGTAACTACAGTTCTTTAGACCACATCCATCCAGAAGATACAACTTTACTATTTAACTATTCAAGCGAAACTGAAGGGTATCTTATTGGCAATATTGAAATTAGAATTCAAAGGTGTTGTCCAACTTTAGCAATCTGAAATATAATTTACAGGGGAGAAAGCAACATAAATTAACAGCTTCTCAAATATTAAACAAATATTCCACAAGTCATTTGCAAGCTTTATGGCAACTTACAAAAGAGATGCCCTATGTACCTTTAAAACAGGATACTGGACTGTTAATAGACTGAATGATCGTGTCCACCATAATTCACTGTGAAGCCCTAATGCCAAAAGTGACGGTATTTGGAGGGGGGCGGGGGCTTTGAGAGGTAACTAGAATAAGACTAGGTCATGAGGGTTGGGCCCCCATGGTGGAATTAGTGTCCTCATAAAAGAAGAGGAAGAGAGACCAGAGCCCTCTCTCTGCCGCATGAGGACACAGTGAGTAAGTAGCCATCTGCAAAGCCAGGAAAAGAGGCCTCACCAGGAAATGAATCTTCTGGCACCTTGATCTTGGACTTCCCAGCCTGCAGAACTGTGAAAGTTAAATGTCTGTTACTTCAGCTTTCCCACTGATGGTATTTTATTATAGCAGATTGAGCTAAGGAATGGTTAGGTTAGAAGTGACTGAATCTGTGCTTTTGAGGGTCAGACCATAGCTGACTCTGGAATTCATATTATATATGGTCCACAAATAATGCAATTAAACCTCACAGCCCCAGTTCCTATTATTTTGCCCGCAATGTATTATTTAAATCTTTTTCTTGTTTGGTTCACATCTTCTCAGGAAAAGTTACACGTCTTCAACATCATGTTATATATAATTTTATATACAATATAAATATAAGGAGAATATATATATATATGTATGTATATGTGTATATATATATATATATATATATATATATATATATGTATGGAAAACCACAGAATCAAGAAAATGATTTCAGTGATAATCTTTCTGAGATTATACATATAAAAACATTTCTAAAAAACACAAAGAATTTTCTAAAAATGCTATGCCCTACAAGTCCTTTTGAACCAATTATTTGGTCCATTTTAACTGACTTCCATCTAAAGTTTCTTAAAATCACGATGAATTCAAAAAACTGTGCAGCAAATTAAAATTTGGTTTGGAGAGTAAGGATAACATCAGTTAACAGGACTAAAAACTTGCAGAGAAAAATGAATCGTGTCTATAATAAAGCCCATTGTAGTGCAGAGTTCTTAATGATGCCCGTAAATCATGGGCAAACATAAAAGGTTCTAAAGTGTAAACACTATGGTACATTCTAGGACCGTCTCCAAATTACAGGGCCTGGAACAAGCATTCAAGTACAGTCCCTCACACCATATGTTTAAAATTTTAAACTATAAACCAGCCAAACAAAACGATAAATAAATATGTTCTCTCCTCCTATTCCTTGAAACTATAACAACATAACAACTTGGAAGGCCAGGCCAAACCTAGAATTTGGGGAAATCTCTAGGATTAGTGCTGAAAGAGGATGGTATGGAGCCAGTTTTCAGTCTTCAGACCCCGGCCCCTCCGCACCCCCTTCCTGCCTCTCTCCCTATCCCTCAACCCCACCTTGTTCCACACCACGGGGGCCTCACACACCAAACATATGGGCACAACCAAGCTTCATCCTCATCCTCCCACAAGCAGATGTCCCTTGGCCACCTCCTTGGACCTAGACGTATACATGGGAACAGTGTGCTCTGCCTTCAGAAAACTAGGCCTGGGATAAACTTTGCTCAGGCCCTGGAAGTGGACTCACGGTTGGCTGGGCAGGGAATTCATGGGTCCTGGGTAACTGGTATACCTTCCAGAAGTAGAGGTATAGCCTCTCAGTGGGCAGTTCCCCTTAGTCCTTTTCAACTTCTTGTCCAATGAGGAAGGGTGGCCAGAGGGAGACTCTCAGTGGTAGGGCTCCTTCTTGCTGAGCTTTAAGACCAGTTTATAATAAAACAGGGAACTTTATGCAAGTTGGAAACTTAAGGCCAGGAGACAATTTTCTTTCCTCAAGTAGAACCGATAGAAAAACTCAGCAGAGTTATGCCTAGAGAAGCAATAGTTCCTTCATAAAGAACATCCACAACTTTGCATCCAGATGAAAGGAAGTCACATTGTTTTCAAATATTTTTAAGTCCACAACCATCTATTGACCATGCTTACAATAACGTTAGTAATATTGTGCCTGGTGCCCTTCTTAGAAGCATTAGCTTTTATTTCATACTTTTTCCCAAAATTCCTGAGATTTCTGAAAGGCAGGTGTCCTGATTTTGAGATTATAACAAGAGAAATGAGCACAGAATAGTTAAGTAATTTTTCTGAGTTCTTAAGGTCAAATATTGGCAAAGTTGGTGGTAACATTAACAATAGACATAAGCGCTTTTTACCTTCGGGAAACCCCAATTCTCCATCTTGACGTACTACTTAGTGAGATCTTTCGGGCTCAGTGAGACTAGAGCTAAGCCTATTATCGCTATTTTTGCTATTCCTCTCCCAATATGGAAGAATTCTTACTTCCGGACCCTTGGACTCTTGCCACAAGAATAAAGAAACAAACAAACAGTTATAAGCAATAAGTTACTCAGTACGGAAGAATATTGCTTTCTGTAAATACTGTTTTTAAACAGTGCTGCAGGAGCAAATGGAAAGAAAGCCCAGAATCAAGAAAAGGATGATCATGTTACTCTCTTGGGCTGAGAGTGTGCGTAATTTTACAAATTGTACTCTTCTTTGGACAGGTTTCATTTCTAGACACTATTTCATCCATTGGCTCATGCCAAAATGGTTTGACAGTCCAACCCTTTACATAGAGAGAAAGATTCAAAGAAGGAATAAATCAGAAAGATTCCACCAAAAAGTGGTCAGGAGCCACCCAATCTGTGGCCAACACTAATGAAACTGACAAGCGAGTGAAAAGATTTGTCTTAAACATAACTTAAAGCACAGGCCTACCTGAATCATATGCAAAATCTCTGGGCTCCTGTTTGATCATCAGAGGAGGGGGGAAGCTTTGGCTGGCCGCACCACCAACCATGGTGTTGTGTTCATACACTGGGTCGTGGTACTCCTGCTTAAAGCCTTGAGGTGGGAAGGGAATGTTTGGCTCAGACATCTGCCGTTGGTACATGGGACGTCCTTCCCTTGGCATTGTCGGCAAAGGAGGAAAGGAATTACAGGGTTCAGAAAGTTGGCGGCGAAATCTGGGGAATAAGAGAGCATGTTTCAAATAAAATAGTAACAAGGAATACCCTTTAAAGACACTGGCACGATTTTTAACTGCTTAGTTAACGAACAAGACACCAGCTGACCCGAAGTGTAAATCTTTAACAAGGACTAGATATCTCCTTCCTGGGTCAGTAGCACTGTGCTTTCTAATCATAATACACCTTGTGTTCCCCTTCTAATTAGTTCCATTCGGCACCATTTCAGTACATGACAAAAAGTTAAAGATGTGCTTCGGGGAAGGCTAGGAGAGCATTGTAGTGTTTGCAAGAAATAACACACTCTAACAGTTGAAATGCCCAACTAGAAATCAACTGGATCATTTACCAGATTTCCTTATTAAGAGGGTCTCAAATTAATTATAGACAAGAAAAACAAAACAAAACATGGGAACCAGAAAGAATCTGATTTCAAACTGCAGCCTCCAGCTTTTAATTCTGTTGTCAAACCAACCAACCAACCAACAAACAAAATCAACCAAATAAAAACCTCCTTATTGGTTTTCCTTCCCTTACCATCAGTTATCAAGGGAGCAAGAAGGGAATGACTTTCTTCTCAAATGTGCAGGACTCTTACGTCTTCAACAATGTCCTAAATAACACTGTATTCTAGTGAGAAATTAAACTGGGAAATATTATAGAGACTGAAATCCAAGCTAGTTTTAAAAGACTACTTCTTTACTGTCAAACAGCAACACAGAACTCACTGGCTTCCAAGAGCTTCAAACAAAATATCAGGTTGATGAAAACAAGCATAAAATATTACAGCAGACCTCCAGGGGTGGAAGGAACACGCATGCATCACATAGCTTTGGGACAGGTCGGTGCTGTTAGGTCATGGGGAAGTTCTGAGGCCTTGGCAGAAGGCTGAGAGTGAGTTTCTACGCGCCTTCCTTCTTGGTTATCCTGTGTACTGATTGGCTAATCACTTCATCGGTTCAGTTCTGTGTTTCTCATCCTATTATCATTGACCCACCGCAAAGATGTGGATTAATTAAAGATTTAACAGCTCTAAACATGCCCAGGAGTGCTTAAAAATAACCTATCCAACATTTCTATGAGCAAATGTAAGCCTATTAACTCCGCTGCACCCACCCCCAAAAGCATTCCTCAGACTTTAATTTGGAAAGTTAACATTTAATTTTGGTAACGTTAAATGAAAACAAGGTAAAAGCGAAAAGAATGGCAAGGCAATTGCTTTAGCATTTCTAAGAACACTCCACCCTGTGATTTAACTCTAGCCTCTCCGGCTGCCATGGAAAGCACTGAAATTCTACCTACACCTGCAGAAAATAAACTTAGAAACTCAGATATAGCAAAATAGGCTGACTGGCACTGCGTTCACTTCCGTTCTCTTGCTTATTTCATTAGCCAAAAAAAGAAACAAATTATCATTAAGAACTGTCAAGGAATGAATAAGAAAATTGTAAGCTGAAGTTAAAAAAAGAAACCAGCTCACTTGGGAAGCCTTCAAAGGAAGATAATAATACTTCTACTAAAAGCTTTGTTGAAAAATCAAGCCATTTGTTTCCACAAGTCAACATGATTCCAGTTGGTACTCACTGAGGACCAGGAATATATCAAACACACGTGCTTCACAAGAAACTACAAGTTTGTGGTATCATTCTTATGACCAATTGTAAAGAGAAAGCGACTCCAGAAGCTTTCTGGAGAGAGTTCATGGGTAAGGAGAGTGTGCTGATGAGCTCCTGGGTACAGGAAAACAGTGCCTAAGTGGTGGGAAACATTGAGAAAAAGAGACAGGGCTCCTGCACAGTGGGTTCAGGAAAAAGTGCCAAAGGGCTGGCCCAAGGAGCAGAATGAGGCTGAGGAAAGGAAGCAGGGTGCAGCCCAGTTGGCCATGAAGCATTCCCAGAGTGAGGTGGGGTGCCTCGGCTGGATGGGGCTATTTGGGGGAAAGGATCTGTTCCCAGAGCAAATTTGCCAATTATAACTGAGGGACTGTCATTTGTTGGCTAGAGCTCTCCAAGAAATCCTCCTCAGAAGCATACGGCTTCAGAGATTTTCCTGGGATCGGCCAGCTGGTGCTGTCCTCAACACTCAGTGGGGGGCAGTGGGAAAAGACCCTGAGCTTCCCTCTTCTAGTTCCGGGCCGGCTGTTCTCAGTCTCAAATATTTGACTTCAAGTAGAGAAACTAAAATGGGTTTGGCTACAGCATTTCAAGTTAGGTCACCTAAAAACAGCCATACTGCTTGTTCAGCAGTCACCTCCCATAAGAAAGAACTATTTTGCACAGAGCACCGACTATGCAATCTCTAATTCTGGCCCTCATCTGAGGTGTGAGACGCGCTATCAAGAACTCTGGGAAGTCACCAGAAGTAGACAAAACAAAACTTGCTTTTCTTTGTCGTCCTCTTTTTCCCTTTCAGCCCTGCACAATGTGCATCTGTTTAATGGCCCACCCGGCAATAAGATGTCTTTCATCTGTATTTACAAAACTGTTTACACAGATGCACATACCGTTACACTCGGACAAAGTCTCAAGTCCACAGGGTGAGAAGGGAACGATAATGGGAAGCATTTCATAACTAAAGCACAGGAGGACTCAGGGATGGAAACCAAGGTAGGAAAGTTACTACTTGGTCTCACATTGGAAAGAACGCTTTCATCTTACCTTCATATCAAAAGAGTTACTGAACTTGAGATTGAGTCCCATTAAATAACCTATAAAAAGCAGATCTGAGTATTCTCTTATTTTCAGAAAGTTGCCAGTGGCACATCTTCTGGTTTCCTCTGCTGATCTGGGAGATTCCTCTGGCTGAGCTATTTTTACAATGGTGTGTCAGAGCCAATTTGCACGGCCTTATTGTTAAATTTGCAGGAATTTATGGGAGCCAACTCTTAAACACAGCCATTGTTAAGAATTAAATTATGTAAATTTAAAATTATTAAAAAATTATATTTAAAACAAAGGCAGGAAACACTCAAAACTCATCACTTCCTAATTCTTTTACTACATTTTACTACTAATTATACTAATTATGCTCTAGAGGTTATGTCTATTGTATCTATTTGGTAGAAATACTGTTTCATGGCATGTTACTACACATCTCTTTGCAATTCCACATTCAGGGTTGTCACAGTGATACCCTGGAGTCTGCCATGGGGGCAATATTTACATCACAGACTCATCAAATGCTATAGATCAAGGTCCTTGGGTTTTCTCCCATAGAGCCTGCTGTTAACCATTTACCAGCACACCACTCACTCTATATAAGTACAAGGTAGAAGGGGAAGAAAGGATGCTATACATAATTGACTTGTGTTTTAAGTTGTATTATTAAGGCTTCTAAAGGTCCTCCAATATTTTACTTCAATATGAATTTTTTCATCTCTAGGAGTCGAGAATTACCCACCGTAACATTCTCTTTAGCTCTATGTTGTGTCTTGCATTATTCCTTTCTAAGTAATACTAATTGAGTCTCTACCTCTTTATATTCTCAGTGTTCGGGGTCATGCCTCTACTGACATTAAATATTCATTACTTGGAAAGGAGGAAAGATAGCTCTATCCAATAAGTTTTCTTCTGCAAAACTATGTACAGCTAAACCACTCATCTAAGGTAAAGAACCTAATTCTGTAAGCCACCTACTAAAATTAGTCGCCTAACTTTATAGAAAAAGTACACACATATGCTCATAAAAATGGGATGATCTGATTTAAAGTTTAAGTGAAGCAATTTAATTCAAGCAAAGCAAAAGGGAAATGTTCAAATGTCAGTATATAGATTAATTTTCCATTTTAGCACCAATTTAAATGTTTATAAAGGAATTTTTATAAATGACCTTCTCCACAAATTATTTATAGCTAAAGATAGACAGAGCAAATAAAATTATTTTGCACAGATGTGCAAAATTAATACACTCCCCTTGAATTTACTGTAGGTCTTAGGAATTGGTAGTAATAGGAATTTCTTCCAAGAATGCTAAAAACAGTTGTTTTTTTGGTTTGTTTTTTGTTTTTTTAAATGGTACCTGCAGTTACCAGGGGGTAAGGGTGGGAGAAGGGATAAATTGGGAGATTGGCATTAACACATACACACTACTACATATAAAATAGGTAACTGATAAGGACCTACTGTATAACACAGGGAACTCTACCCAGTACTCTGTAATGGCCTATATGGGAAAAGAATCTTAAAAAAACAGTGGATATATGTATGTGTATAACTTAACCACTTTGCTGTACAGCAGAAACTAACACAACATTGTAAATCAACTATACTCCAACCAAAAATTTTTTTTAAATGGTACTTGCAGTTACCTGTGGTCCATGGGGTAGCTGCTGTCTTGAATGGGCTGCGACGGAGGGAGGTGAGCTGGGAAGGCGCGGTCAGGTTTCGAAGTGTGAGCTGAGTTGGGAGACGCATGGTGCAGGGGGGACACTGGGGTGCTGGATGGTGTTGGGGGGTTGGAGGGCCTCATTCCCACTTGCGGCTTCTGATCATAGGCACTACCCAAGGAATGAAAGAAAAGAGAACATGTGCTTCTTGGGAGCAATTAAAACTTTTTTTTCCCCCAACCCAAGGGTAGAAAAAATATTTTAGGCTCAAGTCTTAAGGAAGTTGGAATTGCATGGTTTTTGGCTTCCGCAGCTCTAGAACACGTAATCTTTGAAACTGTCACACACTTAAAAAGAAAATGGGATAATGAATGTATAACTTGGTAACAGCATAAATATAAAACATCTGTTTTTAATACATATACAAACAACACACTATAAGGAACATCTCTGTCAATGAAAGCAGTGGCATATTATTTCCATTTATTCTTGATATGTCTCCTTAAGCAAGTTTCATAGATCTTTTCTAGATCATTAAATATTTCTGATATTATAATCCTTCTATATTACATAAGATTTTAGAATAAGAACTCACATCACTTTAACGAGATGCGGATCATACCTGGCTCGCCTTTATTTGTGTTAGAACTCTAAGAAGGCCATGCTTTTGCCTTACTGTCATTTTTTTAATGTAAAATAAATGACGCCTGGCATTAATTTCCTCACATAGGATAATAAAGGTTTATGAGGCAAATTAATAAAGATTTATGTCTCTGATATCTTTAAACTTTCTTGGAGTATAAGAATAGGTACAAAATAATGTTCTTAAGAGTAAAATCCTGTTATCATCGTCTAACTTCTGAACACAGTTACAAAATAATAAAATGAGTAATCTTGTTTTTATATACATTATGAATTTAAGTTGCTTTCTTTAGTGTAGCTCTCAGGAATATGATTTAACTAATTTTTGTGATCTAAAAAATATTTCATTGAAAACAAATTGTACTTAAATTTCTGAACAAAAAAAGATGTTCTAGATTAAAATACTGTATTTCATTTTAAAATAAAAAACATTCATTAATATATATTTTTCTTTAAAAAAGAAACTTTAAAAAAAAACTGACTTATGTAATAATTTACCCTGTTGCACCATCTATACAACAGAATAACATCCAAGTGCAAAAATACTTTATAGAAGTGAAGGAGCATGTGCTGCATAAGTCTTTCTTGCTTTAAGGCAAAGTCAGTGGAACTCATATTATGTTTGGTCCTACCTATTTCACCTACCAATATTTCTGAATGTGAACCCACTTCTTTTATAAACTGGTTCACCTGTCTCATTCCCACATAAAAAGAAAAAATGATACATCTCCTGTCCTAGAATATTACTTTTTTCCCTTATGAAATGCTGTATTGAGTTACACTGTTTGTATAGAAATGGAAATAACAAAATTTAATCCATATATCACTGTGGGAATTATTGGTCCCCAAGAAGAACCTCAAAATATTCAGGTAATTCTACCATTAATTTATGAAAGTCAGATATGTCTTTCTTCTTTCTAAGTCCATAAAGCAGCAGTTATTTCATAGCCACACTTCTGATCAATGCTAAAATGCAATGGCAACTCTATACCTATTTGGTTTATTAATGAAAAATTCCTCCATATGTTAAATAATTACTCTGAGAATACACAGTACTCTGAAGGAGAAAATGCAAAAATTAAAAACACGATAAAAATAAAACTCAGATTGATCAATATTGTTTTATCTGAACTCAGTATGTTTTAATAGTTGGCTTCTACAAGAGATCTGTTTTATAAAAGCTTTGCAGTTCAACTAAACTGCCTCATCATTTCAGGCTCTGGTGAACCTCCTAGAAAAGCAAATATAAAAGACAACTTGGCAAGAACAAATAGTAATAGAATGTCCAAGCACTGGTCAGGTACTGTGAGACTGCACACATCGAAGTTTCTCAAATCTTAACTATCTTGGACAACAAACTAGTAAATATAACAAAAAGGAAGCAGACTCACAGATATAAAGAACAAACGAGTGGTTACCAGTGGGGAGAGTGAAGTTGAGAGGGGCAACACAGGGGTAGGAGATTAAGAGGTACAAACTACTAGGCATAAAATAAGCTACAAGGACATACTGTACAACGCAGGGAATATAGCCAATATTTTATATTAACTATAAATGGAGTAGAACCTTTAAATGCTGTGAATCACTATCTTGTACACCTCTATCTTATATAATATTGTACATCAACTACACTTCAATTTAAAAAAAAAAGGGAAAAAAATTATTCCACAAAAAAGAAAAAAGAATATATGTAAAAAAAAATCTGAGGAAATAGAAGACTCCTTTGGATTATAACATATTATGAATTGCAATCAACATAATTTATAAGACCACAAATATTTGTAATCATTTTTATAAGTTTCTAAACTAACTCCTTTAAAGAACTACGTACGTCTCTACTATAATTGAGAGTAATAACATACAATATACAGAGCCAACTTTTTCCATACGCAATTAGAGGCTGATATGAAAAGCAGCAGAATGCAATTTACTATGAAGGGTTTTTAATGAACATACATGTTATCAAATTTTCCAACAAATGAACAATGCACTTCTACTGCTCCACCCCCCTTTATTATCATCTGAAGGAACACTGGCTTTTTAATAGATAATAGCCTCTGCTAAGCCTTATAAAATTCTAACTTTACTGCAATTGTCCATGAATGCATCTTATAGATCATCTGCAAAACCTGTCAGATAACTAATGTACTGCTTAGACCTGCCAAATGGTTCATTTTTTCCTGCACACTCTATCTAAAGTGCATAATGCTTTCTTTCTAATGAGAACTTTCAGCAGCTATTCATGCATGCAAAGTAAGAACTTCTCTCTCTCTTTTTTTCTTTTTTAAGTCAAGACAGACACAGGAAGCACCTTTCTCTTTTACTTGTTTATTTATTTATTTATTTGGGCACACTGCACAGCATGTAGGATCTTAGTTCTCTGACCAGGGATTGAACCAGTGCCCCCTGCAGTGGAAGTACGGATTCTTCACCACTGGATGGCCAGGGAAGTCCCCAGTCCCTCTTTTCAATCCCATAGTGCATCACTACAGTAGAAAAGTAACTCATGATCTGGATAAAAATGACTGCATTAAAATGATTCTGGGGGCTTCCCTGATGGCGCGGTGGTTAAGAACCTGCCCGCCAATGCAGGGGACATGTATTCGAGCCCTGGTCCGGGAAGATCCCAAATGCCGCGGAGCAACTAAGCCCGTGCGCCACAACTACTGAGCCTGCGCTCTAGAGTCCGTGAGCCACTGCTACTGAGCCCGTGCACCACAACTGCTGAAGCCTGCGCACCTAGAGCCTGTGCTCTGCAACAAGAGAAGCCACTGTAATAAGAAGCCAGCAAAACCCAACAAAGAGTAGGCCCCCTCGCCGCAACTAGAGAAAAGCCCGCACACAGCAACAAAGACCCCCCCCCCCCAAAAATGATAGGTCTCTGACTTGACCTTTAATTAAAATGATTCTGAAAGTATGTAATCAGACAGTAAATGGTCCTTCCGAGTTCTGCTAAACACATAACCTAATTAGCTTGTTATATGCTGCAGGTGTAACTCATAAAATATGACTTGAGATTTTATATTATGCTGGAATTGTGTTTCAATAAGAACCATCAGGCCTTCTCTATACACCTGATTGCTTTACCTGACATTGTACAGGCACTTTTCTCCATAGCTGAATTTAAAGGGCTGTTCTTGACTGCAGGCAGAGCCAAGTTCTGAACATGGACTGTGGGGTTCTTTCTTGATTTTCAGTGGGAGGCCATGAAAAGCCACTAGAAAACAAAACACAAATACCCACAAAAATGAAATACAGTTAGGAATTAAGTACACTAATCTGTTCTACTCCTCTTGGTTAAAACGTCACTAACATTTCAATATTAACTTTCATACATAAGAAAAATCACATTGGATGAATTTCATGCAAGAAAAGATTCTGGAGAATCTCCATATACTCGTTTGCTTTTACTGCATAACGAAATGCATGCCTTAACTCTCTCTCATTACTTAAAAGTCAGATGAACTACTTGTAATTGGTTTAGCTGATATTGACAGTACTAGAAGTTTTCAGAAAGTAAGCTTGAAAACATTTCAGAAAGGTTTCCAATGACTAAAGCAGAAAAAATACAGCTGATTATCCAAGAATTAACTGAAGACAGGAACATAATTTTAAGTATTATTGAAAGGAAAATATCTCAAATGTACCAACAGTAATGGTTTAATGGAATAACAACTGGACTATGAGAAAGAAAGTCCAGATGCATGCAGTTCTCAGGGTAACTAATGATACTTTGGACAAAAGGACAAAAACTCGACCTCTTTTTAGGCCAGAGCTCATATATAAAAATACAGATAAAACTATTTGCCTAACTACTTACCAGAAGTGTGAAGATACATTGTGAGAAATATGTTAAAGTTATTTTTCATATATAATCTACCATAAAACAATTATTCTATATAAAATGATGTTTCCTCCTTTTTCATATGACTTAGTGTCATATGTCATTACTGTTCAATATAATATAAAGACAATATCATAAAATATGAAGAAATATGTATATTTGGAATCATAGCTTTCAAACCAATAAATAAATAAGATTATATATTTTTATTCTTCTATATGAAACTGAACAAATGCATATTAGAGATCCTCAGAATAATTGAAGTTTTAGTATAAATGGAAAATGAATAAAAAGATAAGGGGAAAATAGACATGAGAATGAATTTTATTTTCATACAATTTGCACAGGTATGAATTATCAAGGATAAACACAAGAAGGACACACTGTGGGTAGTTACTCCAAGTCCTATAAAACCTGGGATTAAAACAAAATATTAAGTGTATATACTATAAAGGAAGATATTACAAGAGAAACTTTGTGGCTTATGATGCCATTCAGTCTTGATGATGATATTACAGCATTATGAACTTGTACTAACTTGAATGTCATATATAACTTTAGTATAAGAAATTGATATCAAGAGCTACCAAGCTCCAGGAAGATAAATGCTATTTGTTTATATAAGCACATAATTTTGACAAAAATGTTCAGTGGTACTCAAGAGACATCTGAAACACTGTAGAAAACAAATGTGCCACAGAAGTAAACAAGTTTCATCTAAATTAGTTGTCTAAGGAAAACTTAATAAATAATAATACAATTATTTCACTGAGTGGTCTATTTCAAAGTATTTTTTTCTAATTTAATGTGTGTTTAATATACCTACTCAAAGTAGAGAGTTAGAAACAAAGGGGAAAATTACATGTCTCTTCATATGCAAAGGGTACATATGTTCATTAACTTTACCAAGTCAGAAGGTTATAATTTATAAAACGTTACGATGGAAGAGGCTTAAGAACCTAAAGAATCAATTGTAACATGAGGACTTGTTTGGATTCTGACTTGAACAAACCAACTGAAAGAGACACCTTTCCAACAAATAAGATATTTCAATGGGGACTAGGTATTAGATGTTTAAGAAATTATTGTTCATTTTGTTGGATGTGATAATGAAATGGCAGTTGTACCAAAAAGAAAGGTTTAAAGCTAAAGCTTCATAAAATATTTACAGATAAAAAATAAGCTCTGGGATTTTCTTTAAAATACTCTAGAAAAAAATGTATGAGGGAAGAATCAAATAGAAAAATGCTGATAAATGTTAAAAGCTGACTGATGGATAGGTGGGAGTTCACTACATTATTTTCTTTACTTTTACCTGAATTTGCAAGATGAAATGTTTCTAAAATTTGGGAAAAAAATCACAAAAGATTTAAAGTAGTATTCTATAAGAAAATTCTCTCCCTGTGGGTGTGTGTGTGTGTTACTTCTTAGAATGACAAATATTGTATGATGCAATCTTGTAATATCTTAACCATGCATTTGTTGCTTTCTTAACAAATAGTTTTCCACTGTTTATTACTTACTTGAACATATACAGCAAAATGTGTATACCCTAGTTCAGCACTTTAGATTAAGTAGTAGGTTTTATATTTTCCTAAGAAAAAGCAGTAGCAACATCAAAGGGACTCACTTTGCCATTCAACTAGGTAACAAATCATTATACCTGAGAGATGAGATCTAAATTATATGAATGAAAATGGATAAGAACTTAAAATCTAATAAATTGCCAGTATGATGCAAAGTTTATCATATTTATCAAAATATCAAACATACCAGAGACTGCCATATTCAACATTACTATATTTTAAAAGTCTTTGGGACCATAGTGTAGGAAAAGATTAGTAAACAGGATGCAAAAGGCATTAACCATAAAAGAAAATAATCTACGAATTAGGCTTCATTGAAATTAAGAACTTCTCTTCATCAAGACACTAAGTTACAGACACCAAGAGGATACTTGCTATAGAAAGATCTGACAAAGAAATCATATTCAACATAATAAGAATTGCTACAAATTAATAAAAGAAAACAAGAGACCCAATTAAAACGGGCTAAAGACTCAAACGGGCAGTTCATAAAAGAAGATGCCCAAATGACAAACAAATGAGCAACAAAGCAAGCATATATGAAAAAGTATTCAGCATCTTTACTCATCAGGAAACTGCAAATAAAATCACACGAGGTTTTCACTATACACCCACTAGAATGGCTAAACTGAAAAAGACTGGCATTACCAAGATACGAAGAAGACCTAAAGCAATAAGAACTGCTTACATATGCTGCTAAGAGTATAAACTGACAAAAACACTTTGGAAAACTTTTTGAATTATCTACCAAGTCTCCATATAAATCTCCCCTATGATCCAGTAACTATACTCTTAGGTAGATATCAGAGAAAGGATTGAATATGTTTACTAAAGTACATGTTCACAGCAGCTTTATTCATAATACCAAAAACTGGAAAAATTCCAATGTTCATTAGCAGAAAAATGGATAAGTAAATTGTGGCTTATTCATACAATGGAATATTCCACAAGAATTAACAAGGAACACATTGATGACACACGCGGAAATGTGGATGGTCTCACAGACGCTAAATTGAGTAAGACAAACACAAAAGAGTATACAAAGAGTACACAGTATATGAATTTCAAGTACAGACCAAACTAATGGATAATGAAAGAATCTCCTTCTGTTGGTGGATGGGAGTGTTCATGACTGAGAAAGGGCACTAGTAACCTACTACAGAGCTGTAAATATTTTATATCTTGCTTTTGGCGGTGTATATATATGAGTATATACCTATGTAAAATTCATCAAGTTATACACTTAAGATTTGTGCATTGTAATGAATGTGTATCGCCATAAAAAGATTTAAAAGTATGAGAAGCATCAAGCAATGCTATACAAATTAAGATGCCTGGAAATGTCTGGTGGCCTCCTCTTCCAGCAGAGACATCTGATAATGTGCTTCAACTTCACATAATAAATAATTCCAGATGACTCACGGGAGGAATGACAAGTCTGGGGTACCATTGGGAATGGTTGCTAGCAGGAGAGTAGCCTCCTATCAAAATGTCCATTAATATCAACCTAGAAGCAAAAGGCATGACCCATCCTTGTAGATATACCATCTGGAGCTCTAGTGCTTTCAGACTGGCCCCATGAGTTTCCCAAAGTGACTTTAGAAGAAAGAACACATAAGGATTCCCAAAGTGCTATCAGAGGCAAGTAGATCCCTAAACAGGGGACCCCCAAATTTGGCCAATCATCAGATTACTGAGGGAAATTCTGAAAAAAAACAAACAGGCATTCCCATACTCCATATGTTACAGGTTCAGTTGTGTCCCCTCCAAATTTTATCCTGAGGTCCTAACCCCACCTCAGAATGTGACCTTATTTGGAAAATTAGTTAAGATGGGGTCATTAGGGTGGGACCCAGTTTGTGGTACCTTGTTATGGCAGCCCTAGCAAACTCATACCCTGTTCCCAGAAACTGATGCACTAAAGCTGGTATATAGATCAGGATTCTGTATCTTATAAAATTTTCTAGGTGATTCTCACAACCGGGCAAATTTCAAATCCACTATGATGCTTGGCAACACCTGGATCCAGTGTGTGCTGCACTGAAACAGGTCCAGTACCTGAAAAGACGTTTTTTAAAAAACTAACAATGCCTTCCTTTTTGTTAGATGCCAACACTCAAGGATTCTCACAGGTTCTCCAAGAAGTTTAGGGTTCCCCTACTCTCTCCGTGTGTGGGCCTCTTAATCACTGTGTGCCCTTGGAATCATGACTTTTTTTTTTCTAATCGTAAGCCAAATGCTAGGATTTTTTTTTAACTGCTGTGTTGAGGGGAAAAAAGAAGCCAGCCTAAGATCGTCAACCTTTTGCACAAGAACCGGAGCTACTTTATTTTCCTCATTTTCACTTTTCTGCTTCCTCGAGATTTTAGATCACAAAAATGACTTCTGTTATTTATTATTCTTCAGTAAGGGTAGTACAGAGACTCCCACCAGAGAGGGCTGAGCTGAGACCCTGTTGGGTATTTCATCACAGGGCTGAGAGCCTGAGCGTCTGTGAACAGGCAGTTTTCCAGCTCACTGGCACAGTCACAAGTGGAAGCAGCACATTCATTTTGTGCAATTTGCTTTACCTTCCCACAAGGAGTTGGTGCATGTAAAAGGCTGTTAAGTACTAAATTATTCCTTATCAAATCACCATCATCTGGAGTCATGATCAACACTAATTAAATTACTTTCGCTGAACATGGCTCCAGTCTGCTGCCGAGGCTGCTTAGGTACATTTCATCTCGCTTACTGTATTACTGTCCTGGCTGGCTCTGGAACCAGGGCTACAGGAATCGGCATTGT